AAACAATTTATTGCAAAAAAAAACTCAAAAATCCAAAAGAATCCAAATATTTCACGAAAAATCTTGCGGAAACTTTCGGATTCTTTTGGATCTTTGGAGTTTTCTGCAATAAAATTTTTGGCGTCTCTGAGGCTCCGGGACAGCACAATATTGAGTAATAGCTTCGGTTTACACTTGACAGTACTGTTCAAGTTTCACCAAGGTGTAACCTGCAGGTCAAGAGAAACTAGTAAAAGAAGCTAACGAAATGGGAAGACCCCTCCCCCCCCCGCCCTCGCCGCCTCCTCTCCCCTATCCGAGCACTGCCGATTTTCGTCCCGAAATGTTTGCTGTGGGCAGCATTCTTATTCATGAACAGACCACGTCGTCGTTGGGAATCCCCAGCGTATTAGGACGTATTCCCTCGCTCGTTGTTGGGAAAAGGGGGAGGTACTATTTGCCTTGGAGGGGATATTTGCGACTGGGACCTCTAACCCCACCCGCTCGACAAAAAGTCTTTGGAGAGAAACCAGAAAATTTCTGGGGATTTCCGGAAACACTGGTAGGAAGCTGGGAAAATCTAAGGAAGTGGTGGGTAGGATGGAAAAAGGGAGGGGTGTCGTATCAGAGAAGGGAATTAGTGGGGAGTCGTATTTTCCGAACATTTTCCCAACGTTAGGACGTGCCCTGTCCATGAACCAATTTCCTGCCAAGTGGGGTACTGCACCAGCAAGCCATGCTATTCTCAAATCAGAACCGATCTTCCTGGGCACATACGTGATAGTCAGCGCCCTCAGCCGCTGCTCTATGTCACAGCCTCATTGTAGCAAGATAACAACTGTAAAAAAATTAAATCATTTTTCAGTCCCAGAAGTAGTACCGTACATAAAGGAAATCGAACAGCTCTTTCAAGGAATTCCTGAGGCCGACGTATCTGACATTATTCCACCGTATCGCTCTATAGAAAACCATTTCTTAGTAAGTACGGAATAATGAATCTTGTTACTTCCAGCCTTAATAAAGAATAAATAATAAAGTTTTCATCGTTGAAATCCCTTTGTGGGATGCGGCACGCATTCTACTTCCATTCAGAATCGTAGTGGCTTATTGAATGCGATGTGGCCTATACAATGACTTGCGGGAGGCCAGCCGATGATAATACAAATCACGTTTTTTTATTGTCACTTCTCACCATATCTGGTAACCAATCCACCATCCCAGGAGGAGAAGGCTTGGTGATAGTAGCCTGGGCTCGATCGAGAATTTTGACTCCCCGGCCTGCGCGTGGTTAAGCGTGCGCTTTGGCACTACCACCACCTCCGCCTAACTGCGGACATTGGGAAGACGGTTTCAGCGTACTTAATTTCGTGATATTTGAATGCTTTCTGGATACGCCACTGAGGCGCTTCGCATTCATTGGACGAGCACAGGCGTTTGAATGTCAAGTTGGCTCCCAAAATACCTAAAAATCCAGACCAGTTCATGCCTAATTCTTCTATCCTACCGGGTTTGAAAGACCTGGCTAATGGCAAGATGAAGGACGTCCGTGGTCCTAGAACAGCATCAATTCTGGTCCTGGTCCTACATATGCCTGTGCTGGGATCCAGACGGGATCGTTATCTGCTCGCTGAAGGGAAGGATCGTATTTGGTTTTGGAAGGAATCTTCCCCACCCCCCCCCCCCTCAGCGTACCATTCGACGGCAGCTAAGGCAGCAAGAGTGCAGGAACCCTTTGGAAAACTCTGGAAAGTTGGTAGAGATGGTAGAAGGTTGGGAAATGGTAGAAAGATGGCAGTTAGGATGGAGATCAAAGAAAGAAAAAAGAGCCAGAGAAGGAGGAATGCACGCAAGGTAATATTTCCTCTGGGGAGGGGGGGTGGTGTTTCGGCAAAATTTCTCGCCAAACAGAAGGGCAGGACATGTCCTGCTGTGCTTACGAGTGGCTCGTTCCGCCTCAGCCTGGCCCGTCTTTTTCTAGATTCTAAAGCAGTAAACTACAAATCTTCTGCTAGCGCTGGACAAATTGATGGCTTTTGCCCGTAATTAAGCATTCTGGTTACGTGGGTTTACCAAGCTACCGATGGTCTCTCAGAGTTTGTCGCCATTGAGGATAACGTGACGTCCAGCTATTTGATCAGGTCAGAAATGGCCTGATCAAACACGTGCAGGTCACGTTTCTTGGCTTGGCGAAGCTACAAATTTGGCAGGAGGCTTCGAGGAGACGAAAATTCAAGGGGGCGAGATACAAAATGCACAGTGTAAAATGATATCAAGAGGGTGGGGGGCGGGGGGTACGGTACCACGCCACGAGTTTACGTTTACAGTCGCGATCCCTGTAAACGATAGGGTGTGTAAATTGCAGCGCAGTCTTTGTCGCCAATTGTAGCCGGCTCAGCATGTCGTCATTGGTGGAAAGGGCCGCCCCACCAGCGTTCCTATCCACGTCTCGTTATGAGCTCTATTGTAGGGAACATGGGTGTACCTATGCCCTAAGACAAGCTCGTGCCCTAGTCGTCCGTGCTTCTCCAGGGCTGAGTGTTCTGAGGAAAAGAGATAAAGTTATCACAAAATGCTAAGTTATAGGCTAGCCCTAACCCGCGGGATTCGAGCCTGCCTAGGGTCAAGACGTTGCTCAGAAACGCAGGACTCCTTTGAAAAGGCATCATTTTCCACACCGCTGCTAAATGTTAAACAATAAATATTTCGAAAAAAACCATTTTAAAAATTATTCCTAGGTGTCTCCGAACTATAAACTGGCAACATGCGAAATCGAGAAAAATATGCTTACAATTCGACGGTCGATATTTTGTTATCTGACCAATACCACGGATTTTATTGCACAGAATCGATCAATCAGTACAGAATTCTGGAACGATTGGTATGTTTTTTCTGTATTTTTCATTTTATTTTATTAGAATCGGAACAAGTAAGACACCTTGAAAATCGAGAAATTGAATTGATGAAGGCGTAGTCCACGCTGACCGTATGGAAGGAGACCGTCAATTGCTATCCTCCAACACTGGTAAGTATGTGCGTCCCACCTTTTGAGACCGCTGAAGCGCAACGAGGAGAGCACAATGCTTGATTAGCTCCGCCCATACAATTAGTGTGGACTACAAGTGACAACATGTTCCTCATAAAGAAATTTGTTACAGGTTATGTGATGATACTTTTGTCTACGACAGCATAGACAGCGTCGGAAAAGCGTACGGTACCAACCTAACGCTTTTCACTGTGATTCGTCATCCCATCGATCGATTTCTCAGTGGATACGTCGATAAATGTATGAAGTAAGTAAAAAGTCAACTCATTTATACTGAACGAAAACTGTGTTGTCCAATTTCACTGTGATCTGCTACGTATTTTACGGTTA